AACCCCAAATCACATCTTGCTTTTAAAAACCAAGCCAATTCTGCCCCCTGGCGTTTTTGACAAGAACGACCGTACGTAAGACGCCGATGGAAGCAGGTGCAATACATGGCAGACCTCATTTGGAAACGCTGGAGCCGGGAACACTTACCCCTCATGCAAGAAAGACAGAAATGGTGCAAGGAGAAGAGAAGCTTTAAACCTGGAGATGTAGTAATGGTAGTTGACCCTACTGCTCCCCGTAGCTCTTGGATCCTGGGAAGAGTGCTAGAAGCTATGGCAGACACTAAAGGACTGGTTCGAGCTGTCAAAGTTAAAACACAGACCAGTGTGCTGGAGAGGCCGATTACCAAGATCTGTCTGCTGTTAGAATGTGAAGAGTGACGGCAGGAAACAGGGTATATGTAGAATCCTGAAGTCACATGTAAGACCTTTTAAGACCCTTTCCATACATTTTAAGACCTCATCGCCACTTGGAGTTTTAACCGGTTAACTTGGCGACACACTTTACCTCACATTGACTATATACAGTATTGATTGTCCTTCCTCCTTATCTTCCAACCATTTGGACGCAGACTTGCATTTCCCCAAACGATGTTTAACAACCGGCGTAAACGGAGCTTCGCGCTATCAAGCAGTGAGCGTGCGATGTCCTGTTCAGATGACGTCAAACCCAACGGGATGCCATCAATAAACTACACAGAATCACACTACACACCTACGCAATGATTACATTCAGGCAGACTGTAGAATACAACCTCTCTGGACCATTTATATACTTATTGAAAACAAGCTACAAAATGTAATGCCTTGGAAAATGTTGTTTAATACTTTTTAATAGCCTTCATTTTCGCTAAATAGATTTATCAACTTTTAATACTTTTTAAGACCCCGCGGACACCCTGGCAAATAGTCTTCTTCCGCTGATGGCACGATGATATCATGTAGACAGGATGAGTAACACCACACAACTCATATTGATAGATGACTGGATTCATGAAATGAATAGAAATCCTGAACTGTAGGTTATTTATTTTTTTTAAATTAATATTTTATAATTGTTTTTGTGGTTCTCCAAAATACAATTAGAGGCCGGTTATGTAAGAGCCATTTCCTTAGATTATATTATTTTATCTTTTTAGAGTACTTTTCAGAGCCTGAGATTCTGTGGTGTATATTATTTATTATTTAATTTGAGTGCGTTACTCCTGCAGGTCGAGGTGCTGCAGCCTACTGGTGCGGCTGACTGAAGCAAACCGTTTTTAGACCTTGCTGGTTGGGGGCGTCACAGCTTGGTTCTTGTGCCTTTAACATTGAAGTATCAGTTTATATGACAAATAGTTTGTTTAAAAACGTTTATTAATTTTTGCATTTTTTGGAAATCTTACTTTTCAATCGCATCTGGACATTTCTATAGTTTTTTTCTCTCAAACTACAAGCGTCCATTCCTCGGTCAGCCCCGCGAGTGAATCACAAACAAAGGACACAACACAAATGATATCGTGGTCACTACACGGTTCAAGTGTGAGCTTCCAGTCCCTGTGCATTGTGGAGATATGACCTTGTGCATTTCAAATACCCCAGATCCTGCAGTCATTTATCTGAAGAGTACACTTCAGATAAATGACTGCAGGATCTCAGGTATGCAAAATGGACAGGTAGGCGAGAAAGGCTTTTTTGAGTCTTAGAGACCAAGGTCCTGTACACTTCGCATACATTGACTGCACAACTTCAGGTCTGCGATGTGGACATTTTTATAATATGCTGCAAAACACAACAAATATGCAGGGTTGCGAGTCTGTTTCTAAGGACATTTTATTTTTGGAACAGAGAAAACACCGTAAATAACAATAATAATAACAACAAACAACTGTTAGTCAGACTTCAACTCAGAAAAAAAAGTTTTCCCACACTCTTAAAACCACTATGAGTTTTCTCTTGTGTGAATACGGTGATGTTTTTTGAGAGTACTTGATGTAGTGAAAGTTTTCCCACACTCTTCACAGCAGTACGGTTTTTCTCCCGTGTGAATACGGTGATGTGTTGTGAGATTACTTGATGTAGTGAAAGTTTTCCCACACTCTTCACACCAGTATGGTTTTTCTCCTGTGTGAATATGGTGATGTGTTGTGAGATTACTTGATGTAGTGAAAGTTTTCCCACACTCTTCACACCAGTATGGTTTTTCTCCTGTGTGAATACGGTGATGTATTGTGAGATTACTTGATGTAGTGAAAGTTTTCCCACATTCTTCACAGCTGTACGGTTTTTCTCCTGTGTGAATAAGGTGATGTGTTTTGAGAGCATCTGATCTAGTGAAAGTGTTCCCACACTCTTCACAGCTGTACGGTTTTTCTCCTGTGTGAACACGAAGATGTATTTTGAGATCACTTGATGTAGTGCAAGTTGTCCCACACTCTTCACAGCTGTAGGGTTTTTCTCCTGTGTGAACACGAAGATGTATTTTGAGATCACTTGATGTAGTGCAAGTTTTCCCACACTCTTCACAGCTGTACGGTTTTTCTCCAGTGTGAATACGGTGATGTGTTTTGAGATGATCTGATCTAGTGAAAGTTTTCCCACACTCTTCACAGCTGTACGGGTTTTCTCTGGTGTGAATAAGCAGGTGGCGCTTTAAAGTTACAGATGTTGTATAGGACTTGTCACATTGCTGACAGCTGTGACGTTTCTCCTTTCCTTTTGGTTTCTAGAACAGACAGACAGAGAAAGAGAGAAAGTCAATCTAAAAAGCATAAATACACAAGTTAACACAATAAAAACTCACTTAATATAAACCTTGAGTTAACAAAATACTACTTATCAACGGTTTGTGTTTATTATATTTGTATTATATTTGATACAGTAATACAGCAACATTCTATATACCAGAGGTGGGGGACTCGAGTCACATGACTTGAGTAGGGGTGTAGAGTTATTTGTTCAAGCACCGGATCGGCAAAACAGGACAGTCTGTGAACCAGTCTGCCTTGATCTATGTATTCATGTCTGTGACTCTCACAGTATCTGCTGCCCACAGCTGTTTTGTAGAAGGAAAACCTCCTTCACTTCATGAAATCTCTGCAGCACCAGGAGGCAGTAACGTGTAACTCAGCAGAATCTGAGAAGAGCAGCACCAGCTGCAAAGAGCTGTGCCTTTTACTGTTTACTTCACTGTGTTTACCTTCATTAGAACAGCTAAAGAGCAACCGCAGGCTGCTACGTTTTAAACACACACTGAACTCCACAATTATTCCCCCATTACCTGTTTTATGATTTCAGAGCCCCTCTCTCCATTGTTGTTAATGTGGAAAATAAAACTCTAGTTTCATAACCACTGTCTTTTAACTGATTTAAATGCTGAAACTGGGGTTATTCATCAGGATTTCGTAGGACTTGACTTGCTTGACTCTCACCCCAGTAACTTGAGACTTGCACATGTATGACTTACTCCCACCTCTGGTATTCAGGAGACAGAGGGAGACGGCATCCTGTCACTGCGAGTCTCAGTATGCTCTGTTCGTCTTGTGTTTTAGTTTTTTTGGTCTAATTATTGTCTAAACGTTGTCGTGTCTGTATGAAACGTCATTTTGAGAGACCATGCTTTTGATCCTGTGGATTACATTTGCCTTCTGCAGACTATGTCTGGCCATTCAACTTTCCAAGACGCACCTGAGTGACAGCACGAACAGGTATGGCGAGGAGCCCCGGCCTCTACGCTGCTACAGCCGCGAGGCTATGCTAGAGCTACAATGCGATCGGCCTCCTACGAATACATCAAGCCATCTGTGCTCTTTGATATTGGATGACATCCAACTCTCTGTGTTATCAGAGAGCAGATGTAATACGGGAGTTTACCCAACAAAGCGTTATAAATAAACGTGTAAAAATGACTGAGCCTCCATACAGTAAGTGATGGCAAACCTGCCTTGGCATACAGGGTACAGAGATGAGTAAGTGCTTTACAATTTGTGACAAATCTCAGTGCGCTGTGATAGACGGCATCTAACTTGTTCAGGCAATAGGCAGGTGCATTCATATAGATCAAATCACCAGAGTCCAGCACAGGTAAAAAGGTCAGAGCCTTTTCCTGGCCTCAAGCGAGAAACAGGACTTGTTCCTGAAAAAGAAACCTAGTCTAACCCTCAGCTTTTTAAGCAGGTTATTGACATGAAGTTTAAAAGTAAGACAATCATCAAGCCAGATACCTAGGTATTTATAACAGGTAACCACTTCAAGTACTTGTCCTTGCATAGTAACAGTATCCAAAACAGGCTCTGGTGTCTTTTTAGCTTTTGAAAATAGCATTACCTTGGTTTTATCAACATTTAAAAGAAGCTTACGCTCAGCGAGCTGAGTCTGAATAATGTTAAAAACAGCCTGTAATTTAACACCAGCCTCCTGAATGGAGGGACCTGCACAGTACATCACGGTATCGTCCGCATAGAAATGTAAAGTAGCTTCATTCACATTTTCACCTAAACTGTTGATATGGAGAATAAAAGTGGAACTAAAACAGAACCTTGAGGAACACCATTAGCAATGTTTAACCACTCAGAAGACAGCCCATCAAAGTGAACACATTGGGACCTTTCAGAGAGGTAGTTCACAAACCACCCACTGCATGGCTGGATATGCCAATACTGAGTAGCCTCTGCTTTAAGATGCGATGATCAACGGTATCAAACGCTTTGGATTCACCCTTGTTCGAGCAGACAGGGATGCGAACTCGGGGAAAACCAGAGGAGGCGATATTTGTGTGTGGGACACCATGAGAACCGTGACAGGAATGACCTCTTCAGCTAAACCTATTTTGACGGACAAGACATACTTGATCCATACCAATTTGCCTATAAGCAAGGGGGTGGTACTGTTGTTACTCTGGTTCATATCATTACTAAACATTTAGATAAACGTCACACCTATGCAAGAGCCCTCTTCCTAGATTTCTCAGCAGCATTCAACACAATACAAGCAGACATCTTGGTGTCAAAAATGGCCAAAATGGGATCTCATGAACCTTTGTGGGAAAAGTACTGCGGTGTGAATGCGCCTTATGTGTGGGAAAACCTGGACTTGAATTTTGAATTGAGCCGTCCCTTATAGATACTCACTTTTTAGTGAGTCGGATCATTTGGCTCGGCTCACTAGGAAGAGCCGGTTCTTTCTGCTCCCAAACGGCTCTTCATGTTACCACAGTTTACCAGAGCCTCAGTTTCGCCTAGGGCTGAACGATATACCGTGTCATGGCGATAACCGCGGTATGCGCATGCGCGGTATTCACACCGCAGGGACGTGCGGTTTTATTCCTTTTTTTAAACGCACTTTAGCACAGAATTCAAAATAAAGATACCCTTATTACTTATCGAAACTGCACATACAATATATCCGATTAAAGCTGAGACTCCACAGATTATTTAAGTATAGTATCTAAGCGATCCGATCTCGCAACAGGGGAACCAAACACAGACATCACAACACGTACCTTTTACGGAGCTTTTACGGGAGATCGTCTCACCGTAGCTGTCAATCTAATCAAAAGACGTGTTCAATGGCATAAAACGAGAAAGAAAAAACGCGGCTGAATCGGTTGATCCATAGGTTGATAATGTATCTGTGGCTTTGAAGCAATTGTTTATAATCCATAATTCAATTTTGATGTAAAAATCGGATCACAAAAGTTAGCTGCTAATGGTAGCCACCTTGGTGGTATGCAGCTTCCGGTTTTGGCTACGCGTCGTCACTCTCACTCCTTATTTGTTCATGTGTTGGTGTGTGTAGAACTTCCCCTGATATTTGACCTTTTTAGACAGATTTAGCACAAAAAAACCCTCTTTTGGGCCATTTGGGTGGATTTTCCATATCTCTGGCCCACCTTGCTGGATTTTGACATGTGACATCTCTTTCTGACCGTCAGAGCCAATGGAATCGAGGGGAAATCACACAGTACTTATTTGGTAATGTGTGTGTGAGAGACTTCCGCATTGCCAAGACCGGAAGCAGCAGCCACTATGGTGGCTACCATTAGCAGCTAACTTTTGCTCTGCGATATTTACATAAAAATGGAATTATGGATTATAAATTAAATAATTTTTTTATACAGAGACGTTAAAAACCTATGGATTAACCGATTCAGCTGCGTTTTTTCTTTCTCGTTTTAATGCCATTAATGCCACGTCTTTTGATCAGATTGACAGCTACGGTGAGACATCTCCCCTCGAAGCTACGTGTTGTGATGTCTGTGTTTGCTTCCCCTGTCCGAGTTCAGATCACTCAGTGATGATACTATATACCTAAATAATCTGTGGAACCTCAGCTTTAATCGGATGTCTTGTAAGTGCAGCTACGATAAGTAATAATAAGGGTACTTTTATCTTGAGTTCTGTGCCAAAGTGCGTTAGCATTTTTCGCTCAGGGGTCATTTAGATGCTTCTTATGAGACTTGTGTTTTGTTTTGGTATAAAATGGTTTGTATCGTCAGTTAGCTGAGATTATTTCCGTTAATCTGGTATAACACATTAATAGGTTCTTAAATATTACGATCCCTTGAGACACTGTCGTGAAAAAAAAAAGTAAAGTACCCGCCGGGACTTTGGGGTTTAACAGGTTAAAAAAAACGCGATATATACCGCAGGGGGGGGGAAAACCGCGATGTCAGTTTTTTTCAATACCGTGCAGCCCTAGTTTCGCCTGCGTGCTCCACTAGCACCCCCCGTCAAGGATCGCCGGCAGTACACTTTCCGTCACAGGAACACGCTTTGCTGGCGGTGAAAAGAATCCCACCAGACTCCTTTGCCCCTCCAACAGAGGGATGTCCTTTTCGTAATTTCAAGCGATAAAAACTCTTTTGGACGCCCTCGGCTCGAGTTCAGGGCGTTCCGAGCTGAATCAGGGCGTCAAATGACGGCAAGACGCCCATCTGGCGGAAACGCTGGAATTAGGAATATATTGTGATGACGTGCACACTGACCTGAGCTCCAGGGGTCTCCTTGTTCTCCTCCATGCTGCTCTCAGGGCTCTTCTCCGGCTGGGTCTCTGAAATAATCAACACAACTACAGCTGACACAAAACAACTCAATACAACCGACAGACACAATTTAGAGGTACTTTTACTTTACTTGAGTATTTCCATTTAATACACACACACACACACACACACACACACACACACACACACACACACACACACACACACACACACACACACACACACACACACACACACACACACACACACACACACACACACACACACACACACACACACACACACACACACACACCAAAGTATTGCTTGTTCATACAGTTGGATGTTGGAGCTTCACTGTGCACTGCTGAATGATGTATGTGCAGAGTTTGATCCTTGAAGGCTGTTTCTTCTGCTCTGAAATGGAATATATTTGTTACATATAAATATAATTTTTTATTTTTAGATTTCATTTCGGATTTGTGAATGTCCAGTAGTAGATGGAAAACATACCAAACACTAATTATTCAAAGTAAAGTATTTCATTTTATATACGGTAATACTAAGGAGGCATAGGCCTATATGATGATACGAGTATTGATATTAAAAAGGTGATTTGTTTTTTGTCATTAGAAAGTGAAGTTATTTATTTGTAAGCTCCAAATCCTAATGTTTTCCTCAATGGCCTTTGTGCCCTGGCATGTGGCCTTTGCGCGCTGAAAAAATGTGTGACACCAAAGGCCAAATGGCCTTGCCCCTAAAATGACGAAAATCCAAGCCTGCACACCACGCCGCTCCTCCGCTCCCTTCACTGGCTTCCAGTAACTGCTAGAATCCACTTCAAGACCCTGGTACTTGCTTACCATGCTGCGAATGGATCTGGCCCTTCCTACATCCAGGACATGGTTAAACCGTACACCCCAGCACGTGCACTCCGCTCTGCATCAACCAAACGACTCGCTGCACTCGCACTGCGAAGGGGACCCAAGTTCCCATCAGCAAAAACACGTGGGTTTGCTATCCTGGCTCCAAGATGGTGGAATGAGCTCCCATTGAAATCAGGACAGCAGATAGCTTACACATCTTCCGGGGAGACTGAAAACTCATCTCTTTCGACTCCACTTCGAGCGTTAGAACGATTAACAAAGCACTTATATACTAATAAAGGACTGCCTTATCTAAAGCCAGTTGAGTAGCACTTGAAATGTTTGGCTATTCTATAACACATAGGTGTGAGCAAGCTCTCTGATTGGTCAATAGGCGTGTTTGATTCCACGATCAAACAACGATCAAATAGAACGTGCCTTTTCACAACAAGTCAGTATCCCTCCGCGTCTGAGAAAAACAGTATACCGTTGGGCCACAAACTGGAACAAGAAAGCAGCGCAGAAGTAACGGGCAGAAACCCTCCTTTTTACACAGCGGTCCAGACATAGACATCAAACGGCGACACATATTCAGTGTGCAGTTCCTTTGGCATTAGGGCAGGGATATCTAGATACTTTCCAAGGTTTGACATCATTAATTGTGCTACTTTTAAAGCAAGCAACGTTGTTTTCAAATCTGTAATCAAAGAGGTCAGTAAAAACACTATCGACCAATCAGATTGCTTGATTTGACTTGTCAGTTTTATAAATATATTTAAATTTCTTCCGTTACGAAACAAACTTACAAAGCATAAGATGGAAACATTTAAGATTAACTTCGACCTCCGGGGGGGTCTTACTATGGAGGAGTGGATTGAGCAGTGCCTATCTCCAGAAAGAAAAAAAGCACCTAAACGACGACATGCAGAGCTACGTGAAGAGCAGGCAGACCAACTGGAGAAGTGCCACCATTCAAAAGCTTTCTGATGCGGGTCTTGAAACAAAGCAGAGACATGATGACCGTTAGTGGCCACAGGTACGAAAGCTCTCTCCAGAGCTACTGGAAGCCCAATCTCGGGGACCGGAGAAAGTGCGATAATATATTATGTACTATAATTATATTATATCAATAACTGTAAGCGGGGTAGCAGGAGTGTTTGATCGGCTATCGTTACCATAGGAACTACTTTCTAGGAACTACTTTCTGACGGAGATTAACTCAAGCAGAAAGCGTAGGTTTGGGAGCAAATTAGACCACATTATGAAATTATTTTACGATATTGTTGATTACAATGATAGTTTGTGTTATAGAATCGCAATCATACACTTGAGGCCGTTCTTGAACGTCATTATTGGTACGACAGTACTGCGGCAGGACCGAGGCGCGTACGCCTGTACTCTCGTGTATGATTGCTTAAATAAAGGACTGGCTTATCTAAAGCCAGTTGAGTAGCACTTGAAATGTTTGGCTCTATGAAACCTGATGTACTTTATGATTCTGTTTTCTTCAAGTTTGTATCTTCCTGGTCGAATGTACTTATTGTAAGTCGCTTTGGATAAAAGAGTCAGCTAAATGCAATGTAATGTAATGCTTCATTTTTATTATATCTTATTGCATCTTTTAAATATGTTTAACTGTAATGCCTGAAAACACTTCTGCTGTGACACAATCATTTCCCAGTTTAAGATAAATCATTATTTAAATAAAGTTTATCTAATGAGCTAAAGTTAAACCGTCGCTTAGCGTTAGCTGCTAACTGAAGAACCCCATTCATTTCAATGGGAAAAATGCTACGTCACGGTGAATGGCGATGCTAATAAGCTAGTTAGCATATATTTAAAACCATATCTATGGTAAAGAGCACCAACACAACAACTCAAACCGTCTTAAAGACAACTGGTGTAATAAATAACTAACATAAAGTCAGCTGAGCATTACAAATCAACTGTTACTCACCCAGAGCCGAACTGGAATTATAACTGTAGCGGCACCATAGAGAGCGGCACACAGTAGTGATGGCAGTTTGACACTGAAGCTTCGAACGGAGCTGCCTTCAACCCTGGGCTTGGGCTCTGTGCACAAGATGGCGTCTATCAACTTCCGGCGGCTGGGTGTGCGGCTGAGTACTTCCGGTTTGAGTACAGAGTTTTGACAGCGTGACAGTATGACAGTTTCTTATGTCACACCGAGAGCAAGAACGAGTGGATTTCGGGGTAAAGAAAAGCGATTGGCCTTCCAGCGTGTAAGAAAGTCGGCACTACATTGCTGTGTGCCCCTTTGGACAAATTCGTCCCGTTATCACAATCAGAATACCTTTAGTCCCACAGAGGGGAAATGTGCAGCGTTGCAGCAGGAAAGAGCCACAGACAGCTTAGTGTTGAATATCTTACATGCGTTAAAAAGTACTAAGTTATAATATTATAAACAATATGCTAAAAAAAAGATAAAAAGTTACATAATTTTCAAAAATACAGATCAAAAACAAATCAAATCTACAAATTAAATCCTGTAGCAGTTCTTAGGATTTAGCAGCCCGGTATATATATATATTACAGTTATTAAAGATGGCATATGTATATAAAGTATATATTGCACATAAAGCACATATTGCACATAGTTTGACGGTATTTAACAGCAGCAAGTTACACAATGTTATAATCGGGAGATAAGTTTCCATTCATTTCGGCAAGCCTGGGCAACAACGATTAAAAGATTTCTTGCTCTCAAACCAATTGTGTATTTCATTACAAAAAGCAGTTATACCATACTATGTTTGGGTACTAATGAATGATATCCTCAAAACAAACGCACATAAATAACAAAGGAAAATACATAATTTAATAAATCCACAATATGATAACATTTTACAGATTCATTTAATAAACTTTTACAAAACATAGGTTGATGTTATATCGGGGGGGGGAAAATACATATTTAAACATTTCAATTAGTCTCTGCATATTTAAGTAATGCTAGTTTATATAACAGATGAATAGATGTACAATATCCAGAAAGTAGATGCAAAAAATATATATAATGTGTGCATTTCCAACATTTCCTCTGAAAGAGTGTTAGTCGTTGAGTAGAGTAGTGAGCCATTCGTTCTTTTTTCGTGGTGCGATGTCTGCTGAGAAGTCCTTGTATGCCTCGCTGACTTTGAGGACATCTGGGTCTGGCAGCTCCCCCCGCACGGCCTTGTAACGTGTACTCCTTTGAACATGTTTATATGATAATTAGGACTTTAAGAACAATTTTGCACTCAGACAACAATCACAAAGTTGTAGCAGGCTACATACAATTACTTAGGACAATAGATATGACCTTACACCGTCAGCAACTGTAAACTGCTTTGGCTTAGTGGAAGTGAACACCATGTCACTCACTCTGCCTGGTTTCACACCCTATTAATTACACAAAATAATTGTCAAATTAATTGAAAAGGTCGTTGATGCAACATACTAGATCAGCTCTTGGCACAAAGGAAATACTCATTAAACCGTGGATTGGTTGTGAACACATACTGTACCATGGTTCTTGGCTTGTGCCTTCGCTGCTCTGTTTCAGTGCAGCTGAGGACAGGGGGGACAGCAGGCAGGTTGAGTGTGGAGTAGTGTGCGGTCTGGAACAGCAGTGCAACATTGTGGTTGCAGAGTGCTGTTCCAGCTACACAGGAACACTTTGCCACTGCACAGGTGAACAGTTCTTAAAACAAAATGTCAGTCATTTTACATTTAGGACACTGCTTCAATACAACACAGACAAATGAGAAAGCTGAGAGCAGGCTGATCAGGTAGTAGGTGTGGGAAAAGGCTAAACCATGTCAGGTTGTCAGTCACATCACATACACAGAAGTTCTGCTGTTTGGAATACTGTCATTTAAGGATATTCAAACAGATACGCTTGTATAGCCTGTCTCAGCTCTCTCAATGTATTATCTTATAACTACATAAAATAGTGTTAGTAGAACATTGAACAGCTTAACATAGATGTAGGGTACAAAACCAGCACTTACACTGGCCAATACAAATAATTGGACCCTACATGGATTATACTAACCATTCAGTAAAGAACAGCAGCCGTCACAACCAGTTTCTGGGGTTTCCATGAATTCCATTTTCAACCTCTCATTAAGAATCTTTGATGAAAGCTAAGTTTGGGTTTAGCTAATGTATTTATCATTTTACACGAGAGGGTTACAAAACGAAAATAAATCTGTAGCCCCTTCATGCTACACACACATAGCTAGCTACCAGTTGATGTGA